ACAGAAGAGTGTTTCAAAGACGAAGGTAGAAAAGGTAGATGAAAGGTGAGGTGAGTACTGCGAAAGTTGGAGAATAGGACATACAGTGGGGTGATGGTAGTTTGAAGTGAGAAGTCAACTGCCAGTTAATAGACTTTTTTGCCGTATGAGTATACGTTGCCCAGGTTGCACCACGTGGAGGTAAGTCTATCGCACACCCCTTGAGCTCATTATAAGAACATCAAACAATCCTCCTTCTAGTCGACAAAATCGCGCGCTCTCTCTCTCTGCCTCCCCCTCTCTCTCTCTCTCTTGACAATTACAAAAATTATTGCAGTCAGTCATCCTCACCGCTGAGTGCGTTCTTAGAAGCAGTGACCTCGCCTCAGCAAATGTGCACATTTACGATTTGTACTTTCTTATATTGCCCCTTTTGAAAGTCACAGCAATTTGTCATTGAGTAATCCCACCCAAGGTATGGAGTTTAACTCAAGAAAAAAGATAATTAATGCAATTATGCATTTCACCGCCCTCTTTTTAATTATTGACGACTTTTCGTAATAGCACGTTCTATTACCTTCCTTCCTAGTGGGCTCTAATAAGTGGAATTTCAAACTCTATGAATTTGAATGTTTACTCCGTCTCAATGCATTCGCCATACCTCAAATTTCTTCACAAGTTATACTTGGCGGCTTTTGCACATTATAGCAAAAGCAAAGTTAGACAGGTCTTTACCGATTTAAAATAGTAAAAAAGGAGCCAAAGTTTAATAAAAAATAACATTTATCATTTTTTCACTTTGCACACAACGTAATTAGCGCATTTTATCGGCTTAGCAATATTTTTCCTTAAATGTGATGTACTTTGCTTTAATTTATGCATTTATTTTAAAATCTATACCAAATTGGATGACTTTTTAGCTTATTGTGGTATCTCTTAGGATAACGAAAGCTATCTTATATGAAGAGGTGATTGAGTTGAACAAAAATTATTGGTAACTGGTGGAATGGTTGTTTTTAAAGATTGAATTTCAAAGTCACCAAATATAGTTTTATCTAAGTCGATTTTTGATGATTTCTGAAAGCTAACATTAGAGTTGTTGACCTGGGGTGTATGATAGACTTACCTCCACGTGGTACACCCTGGGCAACGTATACTCATACGACAAAAAAGTCTATTACCTGGCAGTTGACTTCTGATTTCAAACTACCATCAACCCACTGTATGCCATATTCCATCACTTTCACAGTACTCATCTCACCTTTATCCACCTTATCTACCTTCCTCTTTGATACACTCTTCTGTCCCTTTTGAATTTTTTGATGTTCCTTCCCCTCTTTGAAGACTGAAGTCAACTAAAGGCTAATGATGACCATCAAAACGCCAGCCATTTGATAGAATAAAAAAGAGTTGTTGACCTCGTATACTCAGTAGGTTTCGCCCATTACTAAATTTTCTAATCTGGAATGTGTACATTGCTTTAGAAGTGTTGTTGAAAGTTACTAAAAGGCATCGGAAAATCGGTGACGTGGTGGTCAACTTATAATGTGCATAGTCAGATGGTGAGGAAGTAATGTCAAACAGAAATAATCGTAGTCCTTACTATCTACTAGAAATCAAGCGCTTTTTATCAAAGGATATCTCAAACTTCAAAGTGGTGAACGCTGAATTAATATAATTATATCTAATGTTAAATTTTATATTAAAATACATGATTGTGCTTAAAATTGAGGCCATTTAGAGTATAAAGAATGGTAAATAGGGTTGTGGAAAGTCGACTGTAGTGCTTGAAAAAATCTTTCAATAAGCGCCTGATAACCTTGACCCCAACCTAGTGGACGAATAATGAAAGTTGAGATTGAGAAGCTAAACTATTGCCTGAATAATTGTTGTAAAACCCAAAATCAAAAGTTAAAATAAGCCTCCGTAATACATCACTTCATTCGAAGTGTCTTTTCTTCACTCTCCTTAGGACTTAATTTGAACGGATTTCAATTGCCTCTCACTCTTGAAAGTGCATATTTTGCATTGCTGAAGATTGCGTTATTAATGGTGGTTTCTTGAATTTATTATAGCCACAATCCTACTATCCTCCTGGATATCCACTGGTACCTCATCAAGTCGAAATGAAGCCTTCAACCAGTGGACCAACTCAAAAGTCAGTTGCCCTTCAAACTGGGGAATCCATTAGTGAAAACTCCCAAACGGTCTACACGTCAGCTGAAGACGAATTTCAGGCCACAAAAAGCAGCAACAGTAATCCGGACAATCCATATCTCACTGCTGCCAATGCAAACACCTCAGCTAGTCCACTAAAATCACTAGAAACGCCCTCAGTTACAGAAGACTCCATAGCTGATATCAGCTTCAGCTTTGCTTCACAAAATCAACAACCACAACAATGTGGAAGTATGTTCTTGAGTAATCACTACGGACCAGATAAGCTACTTCATGGAACTAACAACTTTGGAGTAAACCGAAGCGCCAGTTTCCACACTGGAGATCAATTAAGGATTGATTCGCCTTCTGCAATGCTCCGGATACCGCGATCTCAACCCTTCTACCCGGGGGTTTATATGCTGAGCCATGATGTCCAAATTCCCGAATTCCATCCGCATAATCAACCTAGGTAGAGGAAGATTGGATATCTATGTGCTTTTATCTTTCAACGACAATCCGTGCAATTATGTTATTTATATGTGTATGTATATCATGAAAAATAGCTCATTGAGATTGAATTAACCGCTTTAATTTTACTCTTACTATATCCCCAGCCACAGCAAAATATCATGAGGTAGTTAACTTTTAACTCAGGGGCTGGTGGTTAGTGAATACGAGTAGTAAAGGGATTATTGGGATCAGGAAGCTTTCCCCCACTCACAGGTTTCGGTTGCGTACTTGAGGTATCTAAGTGATTTGGCCTTCATTGCATTCAAGGTTTACTAACCAATTGACAGAAAGCTTTTTGCGGAAACTTGGTTCTTTTTTATTTTCAAATGACTCCCAAAGCAGTGTGTTCATATTGATGACGAAGTCTTAGAGTACTACATAAGATAATTCTTACATGAGCTAATTCCATCGTTGTACAGTTCTATGGGCATGATTTCGTTTAATTAATCAATGCGCTAATTCCCAGAGCATTTGAGATTAACAGAATAACTCCACCCATTACAACTAAATTTGAGTTTGTTTTATTTAAAGAAAAAAGCTATTAATAATTGGAAAATTAGACAAGCGGGTCAAGTGACATTGGGGCTAGACGATTGGCCTTAAACTAGTTGCATGATTTTATGTGATCCGTTGTCTCGACAAAACAGTCTCGAGGCCGCAACCTTTGAAAGAAATTACTTTAGTCAAGAGGGGTGTGCGATAGACTTACCTCCACGTGGTGCACCCTGGGCAACGTATACTCATACGGCAAAAAAGTCTACTAACTGGCAGTTGACTTCTCACTTCAAACTACATCACCCCCACTCTATCCCATATTCGACTATTTCCGCAATACTCACCTCACCTTTGTTCTACCTTTGTATTCGTCTCTTACATCTTTGAAACACTCCTCTCTTCCCCCTCTCGACTTTTTTCAAGTTGATGTTCCTCCCCCTCTGTGAAGCCTGAAGGCAACTAAAGGGCTAATGATAACCATCAAGATGCCTGCCATTTGATACAAACAACAAACTTTAGTCAAGAAGCACATATCAGAATGGACCAGGTTAGAATGATATTCAATGGGTTTTTCGTTTAATTATAGGTTTGATATAATACGAGATTAAAGAGACCAATTCGGACAGAAAAAAAGATAAGTGAAATCTGATGACTTCTGCCTTAACGGAATGGGGATTTATGTTCTCGTGCAATAATCGATATGTCTATGGTGTAAAGCATTTGCGGTGGGGATTAACTAAGTGAAATATTGGGTTGGCAACTAAGTCATTGTCGTTTTTGTTGACGGATTCACTCTATACTTTCTTTTGTTTTGTTAACGTGGCCAGAGCATCTAACCTATATTTTTTTCTTACTGTATGGGCTTCTAGGTTAATTAGTAAAAAATTTTTTTTGTTTAGTTCTTTAGTTTTGTTTTTATTCCAATTTAAATATGAAAGAGCAGGACGTGCACTTCCGACACATTTTATTGTATTACTTCCGAAAAGGCAAGAACGCATCGCAAGCACAAAAGAAGTTATTTGCCGTATATGGAGATGAAGCCTTAAAAGAAAGGCAGTGTCGAAATTGGTTTGAAAGATTTCGTTCCGGTGATTTTTCACTCAAAAATTCACAACGATCTGGCCGCCCAGTCGAAGTGGATGAAACCCATACCAAGGCCATTATCGATTCAAATCGTCACAGCAAAACACGAGATATTGCAGAGAAGCTCAATGTGTCGCATACATGCATTGAAAAAAAATTAAAAACCCTTGGTTATGTCAAGAAACTTGATTTATGGATCCCTCACTAGTTAAAGGAAATTCATTTGACGCAACGGATTAGCATCTGTGATTCGCTACTGAAACGCAATGAAAATGATCNGAAGAACCTAGTTACTGGCGACGAAAAGTGGATAGTTTATAACAATATTACTCGCAAGAGATCATGGGTGAAGCAAGATCAACCAGCCCAAACAGTATGAAAAGCAGAGATTCACCAAAAAAGATTATCCTGTTAGTCTGGTGGGATGACAAAGGAATTTTGTATTTTGAACTCATGCCGCAGAATCAAACGATAAATTCAAATGTGTATGTTGAAGAACTGGAAAAACTGAAAGAAGGATGCAATTGAAGATAAGCGGCCGGCATTATCAAATCGGCGGAAGGGTGTTGTTTTCCATCATGATAACGCAAGGCCCCACACATCTTTGGTTACTCGGCAAAAATTATTGGAACTGGGTTGGGGTGTTTTGTCACACCCACCATATAGCCCTGACCTTGCGCCTTTGAATTACCATTTGTTTCGTTCCATGTAAAACTCTTTAAATGGTAAAATTTTGAACAACGCGGATGATGTCGGATCACACCTAATTCAGTTTTTTAATAGCAAAGACCAGACATTTTACAAAGGGGGCATTTTTACTCTGCCAGAAGGATGGAAAAAGGTCATCGACAAGAACGGCCAATATCTAATTGAATAAAGTTATATTTTTAAAAAAAATTCCGAATTTGCCTTCTTATTTGAAATCGGCAATGACTTAGTTGCCAACCTAATATGTATTGGAAATCGATTTTCATAAGCAGTGGCTTACATTCAATTGCACTTTTGCATTTCATCCTAAAGTCATTTGATAGGAACTCGGAATACAAAATACAAAAACATGAATACATAATTATTTAACAATGATCGAAAGTACATTTAATTAACGAGTTCCAAGTTGTACCCCACTTTAAAGCCATTGAAAATAGAGGAGATTTCTTTTGTGCGTGTCATTGTCTTTGCAAAGCTGAACCCTTTCACAAAGTTTAAATTGTGCTTAAATTTTTTTTCCAGTCACCTGCAGCAATTTCTGTGAGAGTTAGGTTGATTCAATTTCAAGGTCATTTTGCAAGATTTAAACAGCTCTATTTTTGTTGCTCTAAATTAAAATTTCCGCTTTGTCTAAAATTAGACAGTTCATAAAATCGTTGGTGTAGTATTTCAAAAAAAGAGAGTTTTATAGCAGAAACTCCTGTGGGCTGAATGTGGTGAAAAATAATAGAAGTATTCAGTTCAAAGATCGAAAAACAATGCAATCTAAATTTTTTATTCTGAGAGAATGCTGTAAGCACATACTTCTTCATCGGCTTTCAAGAGCATATAAAGGTATGCATTTCTGCAAGCAAAACTCCGGCTGACTACTTTCCAATAGTTGTCATAGGTCATCTGCTCTGACACTTCAAAGGATCTGGCAAAGGAGATTGAGTATGCCAAATTCATAACACGCTTCATATTTATTCGGAGAAAATATGAAGTGTTCTTTAAAAATGTATGAATTATTATTTTGTCTCGTCTAGAGTAGGCAGGGTTCAAACGGTCAAAGCTTACGATTTATAGATCAGTGTAACAGAGTTGGATCTCCACTCTTTAGTAAGTATTCTAAGGGTCCGTTTTGGAGACAGGGTTAGAAGTAAAATGAGGAATAAAAGATCACAAATATATCGCAATTCTTTTACAAATTATTACTATTATATTGTAAAATATTTATTTATTTAAAATGGCAGGCGTTTTGATAGCTATCATTAGCCATTTAGCTGACTTAAGGCTTCACAGGGGGAAGGTTCATCAAAGTAGAAGAAAGTCGAGGGGTGGGGAAGAGAAGAGCGATTCACAGATGTAGAAGAGGCAGACAGACATAAAGGTAGAGAAAAAGGTAAGATGAGTAATGTGGAAGGGGTCGAATATGACAAACAGTTGGGCCATGGTAGTTTGAAGTCAGAAGACAAATGCCGGTCAATAGACTTTTTTGCCGTATGAGTATACGTTGCCCAGGGTGCACCACGTGGAGGTAAGTCTATCGCACACCCCATATTGTAAAATATAATTTTTTCTGAAGACCTTGAGGTTTTACTTTTATGCTTTCTCTTGTAATTTGGGAAATAATGCTTATTGATGCAATTGTACTTCTCTACTAATATTCAAGGCTTAATTTGTCGAGGGTAACTGGATATTTCTTCAAAAGCCATATGATAACATGAAAATTGTTTCCTATCTAACTCTCCCCCCCCCTCACTCTCTCTCTCTCTTCACTGTTGTTTTCTTGAAAATTTTAGGATCGTTTGCTTTAACTTAAATAGGAGAGTTGAAATTTCCTTCCCTTCAAGTTAGCGAAAATATTGTAGAGACGCCAAGTTCAAAAATTTTACTTGGAAACTTCCGTGTTAAGTAGGAGCTGGGATTGTTATAGGGAAGCTTTGTTCGTGCAGAATATTGATATTATTTCAAATGGCAGGCTTTATGATATTTATCATTGTCCCCTTAGTTGACTTCAGCTTTCCCCATGTGGGGGGGGGGTACATATATAGCAGTTAATTAGTTGTCTTCTAGCTTCCCAGTACCTCTGGGTTTCCGTCGTTGCCTTTAGGGCTAGACACCGAATCAGGTGGGTCTTCTCCATTTCAGCTAGACACCGAATCAGGTGGGTCTTCTCCATTTCCTCCTAAAGGTTACATAGGGGCGTGTGGGTTGAGTGTATACTTCCAATATGTGAAGGTGTTTTGCCAGTGTATACTCCCAATCTTTGAAGGTGTTTTGCCAGGCAATCCGTCCGTACGTAGTCTAAACTCAGCAACGGCTTCGATTCTTGGCCAATAGCTAAACTCAGCAACGGCTTCGATTCTTGGCCAGTCGACTAAGTCAAAGAGTGCCATCGTGCAAAATATCTTTGAAAATAAATCTCAAACAAAGTTGTGCAAAGATAAAACAAGTATGTTGACGTGGAATAATTTGGGTTGGGAAGGATGCCATGAGTAAAGAAGCCACAAATACTAATTACTTTCCAAGAAGGCATTGTTGCCTACCTCAAGGGAAATCAAGCGATTTCGATGAGGTCTAATGCTGTCAATTGTATGAAAATGATTTGGGCGCAGGAAGAAGCGCTGTTGAACCTTGGAAGTTCACTCTTTCTCAAGCGCAACGTCTAAGTTCTGGTTGTATGATCACGGTAGTT